TTTACTGCAGATGATAAATGTCCACACCTGAAAACCAAATATATGTTTACTTAAATATAGTCATAATATTTATTACAGAATTAAGGGATATTAACTATTCTTTTATTTATTATTAGTACGTTTTCTAAATGTTTGAAGGTTTCTTCTTTTGACAAAATTAGCTAAATTTAAGGAGGAGATTCCATCAGTACTTTATTCAATGCCATGTCTGAATATAACAGAGTCCTATAATAACTTTAGTCCCTCCCAAATTGATCCTCTCATTAATAGTGCTGCAGGCTCACTATGAACAACACTAGATTCTATCGCCCCTATAAAAAGGAAAATATTAAAACATAGGAGGCTAGCACCGTGGTACAACCACCAAACCCGTCAATTAAAGCAAAAAGCGCAGAAATCTGAAAGGAAATGACGCTCTTCCAAATGATTAGAATATGTGAATTTGGCAAAATAGTCTTAAAACCTAAAGAAAGGCCCTCCGTAATGCCAGAGGAGCCTATTATTCAGCACTAATGGAAGAAAATAAGAACAACCCCAGGTTCCTCTTCAGCACTGTAGCCAGGCTGACAGAGAGTCACAGCTCTATTGAGCCACGTATCCCCATAACCCTCAGTAGTAACGACTTTATGAGCTTCTTTTCTGATCAAATTATTACTATTTCAGACAAAATGAATCACCAAATGCCAAAAAGAGAAGATGGTACAACAACATGTTTAAAAGGTCCTTTTGCAGGTTGAAGACTCGCTTACGGCCATACCACCCTGAACACGCCCGATCTCGTCCGATCTCGGAAGCTAAGCACGGTCGGGCCTGGTTAGTACTTGGATGGGAGACCGCCTGGGAATACCAGGTGCTGTAAGCTTTTACACGTCTCTTTATAGATAGCAGAATTATCAAAAGACAGAACATTTGATTCATGTCATTTCAATTTTGAGGCTGTACTTAATCGTTTCATTAATAGACTCAATTGGCTTCTGTCAGACAGGATCCCCCCCAAGGCTGCGTTCTTTCTCCTCTGCTCTTCTCCCTGTACACAAACAGCTGCACCTCCAGTCACCAGTCCGTCAGGCTTCTGAAGTTGGAGGATGACACCTCCCTCATTGGGCTCATCTCTGGACACAAACTCTTTGAAACTCTTCCCTCTGGTAGGAGGCTGCGGTCCATCAGGACCAAAACCTCACGCCACAAGAACAGTTTCTTTCCGTCTGCAGCTGGCCTCATGAACAAGGCCCAGATCCCCCACTGACACTGACTCTTAAACCCACCCTGTATATATGCATTACCTTAATGCACTCCTGTTGGTTTTTCTATCCTGCACATTGTAAATATCTTTCCTGTACAGTTTAGACCTTTCTATCTTTATCTTTATTCATTTATATTTTTAAAAGTACTTTATTTTTTCTGCGATTTTTATGCACCAACGCAACAAGACAAATTCCTTGTACGTGTAAAAACGTACTTGGCAATTAACCCGATTCTGATTCTGTATAATGGGTGATATTCATGCCTTTTCAGGATTTATTTTCCTCTACTGTAATATATGCACGTTAACCAAGCGGAAACTCTCAAACAACAACAACAACAACAACAACAAGAATAACAATAGTAGAATCAAGAAACTTCCATCTAAACTTAAAGGTTACATATTTTACAACAACATTGTGTTGAAAATGAAACTATGTGAATGAGTGAAGCAGCAGCAGCAGCAGCAGCAGCATCCTCTGCTGTTTGTAAAGAGAAGTGTAAAAGCTTACAGCACCTGGTATTCCCAGGCGGTCTCCCATCCAAGTACTAACCAGGCCCGACCCTGCTTAGCTTCCGAGATCGGACGAGATCGGGCGTGTTCAGGGTGGTATGGCCGTAAGCGAGTGTTTAAGCTGCAAAAGGACCTTTTAAACATGTTGTGGTACCATCTTCTGGTATTGTACTGTACTGCTTCTCTTCAGATTTGGCTCTTTAACATGAACGATGGGACTTTTTTTTTTATCTCTGTGTTTGTGGAAGATTTTGCACTAAGATCTATGAGCTCTTTAAGATATGAAGGAGCCGGACCATGAAGAGCTTTGTAGGTGAGGAGGATTTTCAATTCTATTCTGAATTTTACAGGGAGCCAGTGCAGAGAAGCTAATACAGGAGAGATGTGATCTCTTTTCCTAGTTCCTGTCAGTACTCGTGCTGCAGCGTTCTGAATTAATTGGAGCGTCTTAATGGACTTATTGGGGCAACCTGATAATAAGGAGTTGCAGTAATCCAGCCTAGAAGTGACTTATGTGTCACTATCTACACTATCATCAGCAGTTGAAGCAGCCATAAATACATAAAAGACTTCAAATGTATCAGACACACTGCGTCCCAAAACATGCCTAAAAAAACGAACATGTCCATTATTTAGTTGGAATATTTACTTTGCTCAGTGGAAAACCTTTAGCGTTTGACTTTTGCACCCGACATGGCCACAACCCTGTCTGGTCCTGACACTGATTTTCTGGTCTAGATTTGAAGATTTAGTTGAGTTTAATCTGTATGAGGGTTAGAGTCTGACCAATATGATCCCTCAGGTCATACATATACACATAATTATCAATAACCAACTAAATGACTATCTACAGCAGCCTACACTGAGTGTCTCTAAAACCTTTCCTGTAATAATTATTAGTCATTCTGACACATTTTCCATATGTAGGACTGTAAACACTCAGAGTCTCTCAAGGTGCTTCCTGTCTGATTTGTAATTAACTTTTTATCCCAACACTGTGTCTTGTAATACCTCTAAACCTGAAATGTTGTGGGTTTCTTTTCGCCATGTACCAACACTGTCTTCAAAACAAAATGAACAAAAACTTTCATATAACAAAATGAAACTATGTGAATGAGTGAAGCAGCAGCAGCAGCAGCAGCAGCATCCTCTGCTGTTTGTAAAGAGAAGTGTAAAAGCTTACAGCACCTGGTATTCCCAGGCGGTCTCCCATCCAAGTACTAACCAGGCCCGACCCTGCTTAGCTTCCGAGATCGGACGAGATCGGGCGTGTTCAGGGTGGTATGGCCGTAAGCCAGTGGAGAAGCTGCAAAAGGACCTTTTAAACATGTTGTTGTAGCATCTTCTGTTATTGTACTGTACTGCTTCTCTTCTCTTGTTCAGCAGATGTGTATTCATATTTTTACTGCAGATGATAAATGTCCACACCTGAAAACCAAATATATGTTTACTTAAATATAGTCATAATATTTATTACAGAATTAAGGGATATTAACTATTCTTTTATTTATTATTAGTACGTTTTCTAAATGTTTGAAGGTTTCTTCTTTTGACAAAATTAGCTAAATTTAAGGAGGAGATTCCATCAGTACTTTATTCAATGCCATGTCTGAATATAACAGAGTCCTATAATAACTTTAGTCCCTCCCAAATTGATCCTCTCATTAATAGTGCTGCAGGCTCACTATGAACAACACTAGATTCTATCGCCCCTATAAAAAGGAAAATATTAAAACATAGGAGGCTAGCACCGTGGTACAACCACCAAACCCGTCAATTAAAGCAAAAAGCGCAGAAATCTGAAAGGAAATGACGCTCTTCCAAATGATTAGAATATGTGAATTTGGCAAAATAGTCTTAAAACCTAAAGAAAGGCCCTCCTCAATGCCAGAGGAGCCTATTATTCAGCACTAATGGAAGAAAATAAGAACAACCCCAGGTTCCTCTTCAGCACTGTAGCCAGGCTGACAGAGAGTCACAGCTCTATTGAGCCACGTATCCCCATAACCCTCAGTAGTAACGACTTTATGAGCTTCTTTTCTGATCAAATTATTACTATTTCAGACAAAATGAATCACCAAATGCCAAAAACAGAAGATGGTACAACAACATGTTTAAAAGGTCCTTTTGCAGGTTGAAGACTCGCTTACGGCCATACCACCCTGAACACGCCCGATCTCGTCCGATCTCGGAAGCTAAGCAGGGTCGGGCCTGGTTAGTACTTGGATGGGAGACCGCCTGGGAATACCAGGTGCTGTAAGCTTTTACACGTCTCTTTATAGATAGCAGAATTATCAAAAGACAGAACATTTGATTCATGTCATTTCAATTTTGAGGCTGTACTTAATCGTTTCATTAATAGACTCAATTGGCTTCTGTCAGACAGGATCCCCCCAAGGCTGCGTTCTTTCTCCTCTGCTCTTCTCCCTGTACACAAACAGCTGCACCTCCAGTCACCAGTCCGTCAGGCTTCTGAAGTTGGAGGATGACACCTCCCTCATTGGGCTCATCTCTGGACACAAACTCTTTGAAACTCTTCCCTCTGGTAGGAGGCTGCGGTCCATCAGGACCAAAACCTCACGCCACAAGAACAGTTTCTTTCCGTCTGCAGCTGGCCTCATGAACAAGGCCCAGATCCCCCACTGACACTGACTCTTAAACCCACCCTGTATATATGCATTACCTTAATGCACTCCTGTTGGTTTTTCTATCCTGCACATTGTAAATATCTTTCCTGTACAGTTTAGACCTTTCTATCTTTATCTTTATTCATTTATATTTTTAAAAGTACTTTATTTTTTCTGCGATTTTTATGCACCAACGCAACAAGACAAATTCCTTGTACGTGTAAAAACGTACTTGGCAATTAACCCGATTCTGATTCTGTATAATGGGTGATATTCATGCCTTTTCAGGATTTATTTTCCTCTACTGTAATATATGCACGTTAACCAAGCGGAAACTCTCATCAACAACAACAACAACAACAACAATAATAACAATAGTAGAATCAAAGAAACTTCCATCTAAACTTAAAGCTTACATATTTTACAACAACATTGTGTTGAAAATGAAACTATCTGAACGACGTTCTGCTGTAGCAGCAGCAGCAGCAGCAGCCTCTGCTGTTTGCTAAGAGAAATGAAAAGGCTTACAGCACCTGGTATTCCCAGGCGGTCTCCCATCCAAGTACTAACCAGGCCCGACCCTGCTTAGCTTCCGAGATCGGACGAGATCGGGCGCGTTTTTTTTTTTTTTATCTTTTATTATCAAAAATACAAATACACTTTAAACATTTACTCTTATATACAAATATACACAAATAAAACACTTAGACCTAAAGTGAACTCAAAATAAACTCCATAAAGAGATAAAATAAACAAAGAAACCAATCAAAACCAAAATAAAATAAACAGAAGAGCTGAAAAAATTAAACAAATAATATAAACAAATTAATTAGATTTAAGAACCTAAATCACATAAATCAAAAAAACAAAATGTAAATAAATAAATTTAATCAACCAAATTAATTCAAATCAAAAACAATAAAATCTTTTAATTATAAGAAACAAATAGAACAACATAAAACAAACTAAATAACAATGAGCAAGATATTACAAAGTGATACAATTTTTCCAAATATTGAACTTTTTTTTTTTTTTTTTTTTTTAAAAAGCAAATTCCAATAGGCTCTCCTCACCTTCCCCATGCTCTTTAAACAATGAATGTCTTGAGTATAATGCACTCTTTGTCCATACGTCCGTCCTTCCATGCAACAGCCTTAGATGCGCTTTAAGAGAGTTTGTAAATATTATTTGGCTGTTGCGGATTTTCTGTTCATGTAGTGCAAAGTTTCTCACAGTCCATACTGCTTTCCTTGCGAAAGCAAGGACCATGTTTATGAAGTTCTTGTTATAGGTGTTATTGTTTTGATTTAGTCCAAACAATCTAGCCCACCGCCATTGCTCTTCAGTACTTGTACTCAAGTTACAGTGTAACTCTAGAAGCTGTCGAACTTTTTCCCACAGTCCGGTGTGTGCGCTGCAATAGAGAAAGAGGTGTTCAAGATCCTCCTCCCCCTCTCCACATACCGAGCATGTCCTGCTATACACATTTTTTGCGATTTGATGCAGGACGATGCCTGTGAAGATCCTCCTGTGCCTAATATTAAAGTCTAAATGAAATGAACTTGTGGTTGTGAATGGGATATCTATGTTTTTCCAGATGGTGTTGATTGATCGAGTGGGAAAAAATTTCTCCCAATGTTTGACAGAAGCTGGTGTTTGTGAAATTTTTGCTAACAGGATATTATACCAGTCTCTGGTTTTGACGGATATTACATTTACAGGTGGGTTTTTAAGGCACAGGAGGAACCCCAAGGCATCGCCCCGCATCTCATCGCTATTGCTCCTGAGTAGGCTCAGCCACTCAGGCAGCAAACTTTCTTGAAGCTTGTAGCCCAGTTTGGCCACTTGCTTCCTTCTGAACAAAATCTTCTTTTTTTTCATTTCTATGCATACTTTGACAATATCAAAATCTCCAGTGCTTCCAACTACCTGTCCCACCTTAGTGAGACCGGCAGCCGTCAGACATTTGCTCAACAAACATCTTCCCCCCCCTAAAAGAGTCGGGTTTGAGAGGAAAGGTAGCTGCAACACATGCTCTTTTCTGCTGCACTCTGGCCTGAGGTGGGGCAGAATCTTGCCCCATGCCTCTAGTACCTCCTGGTAGAACCCCGGCAGACCACCATAGTCCTTTCTGGGAGAGGAGACACAGAGGTTGTACACAGTCCCCTCACCGTACTCAGACAGGTGGCCTGCCAGCGAGTCCATCCATGGGGACTGCCGGGTCGAATCCAAAAACCTGCTAATTAATTTTAGCCTCAGTGCATCTCTTTTGGCACTTATATCAATCAAGCCTAAGCCCCCCTCCCTTTTCTTAGCAATTAACACTCTGTGAGCTATCGAATTTCCTTTATTCCTCCACAGAAAGGAGGAAATAGCGCTATTTAGCGAATTTAGTGCCCAAATCGGCAACTCACAGTTTCCCAAAACGTGGTTAATTTTGGACAGTATTAGAGCATTAGAAACTACTACCTTTCCTCTCAAATTCAGCCCTCTCGTTTTCCACAGATTAATCTTGTTTTTCACCTTTTGTACCGTTTCCTCCCATGTCCTATCCCTTGCTTTTTCTCTATTCTTTCCAATATATATACCAAGAATTTTTTTTTCGCTTTTAATCTCCCTAAAACCCCACTTATTTGTGACCGTGCTCTGCTTTCCGCAGAACATGATTTCAGATTTGCTTTTATTCACTTTTGCCCCTGCCCCCTCTTCGTAAATCTTGAGACACTCTAGGGCACAGTCGACGCTGTTGCTATCAGCTACCACAAAGTTTAAGTCATCCGCATACTGCACCATTTTTATTTCTTGGCCAGTTAATGTGTGGATACCTTTAACCCCAGCGTTTTTTTTTAATTGGATTGCCAGAGGTTCCACCACAATGCTGTACAGTAAAGAAGACATTGGACACCCCTGCCTCACTGACCTCTCCAGTGGAAACTCCCCTGTAAGTGACCCGTTACATTTTACCCTACTCGTGCCCTTTACATACAATAACTTAATCCACCCAATGATATTTTCCCCAAAACCAAACTTACGCAATGTGTCCCACAAAAAACCATGATCCACCCTGTCAAACGCCTTCTCCATGTCTATGCCCACTAATATACCACCTTGTGAATTCATTACTTCTACCATATCTCTAACTGTCCCTATTGTATCTGCGATGTCTCTGCCCGGTATACTGTATGCTTGTGAACTACTAATTATTGATCCCACCACCTCCTTGAGTCTGTTTGCAATTATTTTGGAAAGTACTTTGTAATCTGTATTAAGTAAGCTTATTGGTCTATAGTTTCCTATCCTGTCCCTTTCTCCTTTGTTTTTGTAGATTAGTGTAATTAGACCCTGTGAGAAAAAATCTGGCGTATCTTGATTAGCTTGCATTTTATTAAATAATTTGTGCAGCAAGGGTGCCATCAGATGTTTGAAATAAATGTAGAACTCAGCCGAAATGCCATCACTCCCTGGGCTCTTGTTTTTATTGAGACCCTCTATAGCCCATACTACTTCCTCACTAGTGATCAGTTCTTCACATACATGCTTGTCTTCTGGAGAAATTTGTTTATCAATATTCTCCAGCAACAGCGCCGACTGTGCCCTATTACATTCTTGTTTTTGAAAAAGATCTTTATAAAAATCCTGTACTGTGTCCAAGATTTCCCCATGTTCTGTTATTTTAACCCCATCCTTATTTGTGAGAAAATCAATAGTTGTCCTATTCTGTTTCTTTTTTTCTAGCCCCAAAAAGAAGGCCGTGCATTTTTCACCCTCCACTATATTTTTGACTCTACACCTTACGGCTGCGCCTTTACATCTTTTGATTTCTATTTCCTTTAGTTTAGCTTTATATAAATTGTATTTTTCACTTTTCCTATCTGGATCATCTTCCATCATTCTTACCTCCATAGATAGAAGGTTTGTTAGAGATCGCTCCTCTACCTGTTCTGACCATTTTTTTTGTTTACTATAGTTTACACATACCTTCTTAATCCTTTTCTTTACATCATTCCAACTCTTTATAAAGTTATCGTTTACATCTAGTTCATCTGTTATATTTAATAATAATTTTCTAATTTTTTTATTGAAAACCTCATCTTCTAACAAGCTGACGTTGAAGCACCATGAGCCTCCCCCTTTCACACTATTTGTCATTCCCAATTTAATCTGGAGCGACGCGTGGTCACTCCACTGATTAAAATTATGAGATATATTTATTAATTCTCTGACTATTCCAGATGAGACTAGGCAGTAGTCTACTCTGGACTGTTTCAGAGTACCTTCTACTACCTGTCTCCTTGAAAAGCCTCTTACACCTGGGTTAAAAACCCTCCATATATCAATAAAATTATAGTCATTCATTATATCAATTAGTTTTGTTCTACTGTGGTCATTTTTATAAGTATTATTTGCAGACACATCAGTTTTAGTTAAAGCAACATTGAAATCACCCACAATAATTACATCATTACACAACCATTTTTCCAGGCTTACAAAAAACCTCCTCCTCTGGTTTTCATTGTTCGGAGCATATATATTGATAACTCTGTATTTCCTATTATTATTTAAGGAGATATCTATAATCAATATCCTACCCTCTTCATCTTTATATATTACATCTATATTGTTTACTATATTTCCTTTACACAATATTGCAACCCCACAGGATCTAGCAGTACCTAGACTGGAGAAAACAGACCCGCTCCACACCTTGGAGACAAGATCCACAGTCTTTTCACCCCACCAAGTCTCTTGCAGACATACAACATCGGCTTTGCATGAGCCCAGAACAGCGTTGATTTTAAGCTCACTGCGTAGGCCATTTACATTTAGTGAGGTAACTGAAAGCATCAGAAAAATGAAAGTGAGAGTGGATTCCGGCATTTAATGATTTTATTTCTTTTGTATTTTCTCTCTTCTTGATTTTAGCTTACTTTTCCTTGCTTCTTTTCTTTTCCTTACATTTGTAAATTCTGTGTCCATGTCTGTAGTATTGCTACCTGAATCATCATTGTCAATGCCAGGAAAAAGTCGACCCTCTGTCCCTTTCCCACCTCCGCTACTCTGGGGAGGTTCTGCTTGTACAGAGGGCTCTAGCTGGGAAGGCTGCAGCTGAGACTCTTCCACCAGCATGCTACTCTCCCAAAGGGACGGCACCTGGGATAGAGGCTCCTGCACAGTGCAGACAGCGCCCGATACGTTCGCGGGCCTTTGAGTCTGTGTCAGCTCGGGGCTTGCGGAAAGCACATCCTCTTGTTCAGAGATCGCACCTCCGCTGCCCTTTGCTGCTCTTGTGCTGATAATACAAGCACTGCCCGCTCCGCTCGGAGCCGCCACTGCTTCGGTAGGTGGCTCGCCCACCCCCGCCTGTGCAATTACTCTCCCACCACACAGAGCCCCAGCCACAGTCTTCCCTACTTCCACATGGACTGCTGCTGCAGCGGCACAGGCTACTGTCTCCGCTACAGCTCCATTCTCCCTCTCAGAGTCTCTATCGCTCTGCTCGCTGGTGTCATTGCATATACATTCTTTTATTTTTTTATAACATAATTTACACTTTTCTATTGCTTTCAAATCACACTCCCTGGCGTAATGCCCCTGAGCTCCACACTTATGACAATTAAACTCTGGACAGTCTCTTAGGATGTGGCCGGGTTGAATGCATAATTTACACACTCTGATTTGTTTGTCATGAATGACCCTGAAATATTCTGCCCCGTTATGAGTGGTGAATTTGGTGGAATATGGAAGAGACTGAACCTGCTTGTTAAATCTTACTTTGAGGAAGCGTGTCCCATCTGCAATATTGGTCCCCGGCCACATCCTGCGTCTGATGTTCGAGACGGCTGAAACTCCCCAGATCCTGAGTTTTTCCAGAACTTCCTCATCCGAGATGTAGGCTGGGAGGTTCAGGAACGAGACCACCATCTCATTATCACAGAGCTCCTTCGCCATCACTGCCACATCCCCGACTTTCAGCCCCTCCATCAGCCTCTCCTTCCCTCCAGCGCTCGCCATCGTGAGTTCAAACGTCCTCTCTCCAATCACTCTGCACGCCAGCAATCCTCCACATAGCCCGACCACCGCTTGCATCAGCTCGGCTGTTGTTACCTTGCCGGTCCCCTGCAGCTGTACACACGCCGTTAACTCCTTAGCGTATCTTTTCTCCGCCATTTTAGGAGTTTCTCTTACTTTATCTTTTTCACTTTCTTTTCCGTTCAAATTTTGAACTAGTCCGTTGTTCAGAGCCATAGTCGAGCAGTCCGCGTCAATGCCGTTTGTGTCCTTTGTCAGTCCGTAGTTCCTTTCTCCAAATCCTTCAATCCTCGCAGTTTTCGTTGCCATGATGTCCGTCCGATATATTTCTAATTTTATTTAAATAATCAATTGAGAAAAAAAAAAAACAAAAAACAAAAAACGAACTGCTTCCCCAGACAGTGAGAACACTGCTGGGGAACACAATAAACAAAAAGTGCACGAAAAACCTCACAAACAGTGTTGAATTGGAAAATAAAAACCTAGACAAACAAAAGCACACACGCTGCAGGTGCTGCCACTCTGACTCACTCACTCGTTTGCTCGCTCAATCTCTCTCTCTCTCGCTTCTGCTCAAACTCACTCTCTGCAACTACTGGTTCAGGGTGGTATGGCCGTAAGCGAGTGTTTAAGCTGCAAAAGGACCTTTTAAACATGTTGTGGTACCATCTTCTGTTATTGTACTGTACTGCTTCTCTTCAGATTTGGCTCTTTAACATGAACGATGGGACTTTTTTTTTTATCTCTGTGTTTGTGGAAGATTTTGCACTAAGATCTATGAGCTCTTTAAGATATGAAGGAGCCGGACCATGAAGAGCTTTGTAGGTGAGGAGGATTTTCAATTCTATTCTGAATTTTACAGGGAGCCAGTGCAGAGAAGCTAATACAGGAGAGATGTGATCTCTTTTCCTAGTTCCTGTCAGTACTCGTGCTGCAGCGTTCTGAATTAATTGGAGCGTCTTAATGGACTTATTGGGGCAACCTGATAATAAGGAGTTGCAGTAATCCAGCCTAGAAGTGACTTATGTGTCACTATCTACACTATCATCAGCAGTTGAAGCAGCCATAAATACATAAAAGACTTCAAATGTATCGGACACACTGCGTCCCAAAACATGCCTAAAAAAACGAACATGTCCATCATTTAGTTGGAATATTTACTTTGCTCAGTGGAAAACCTTTAGCGTTTGACTTTTGCACCCGACATGGCCACAACCCTGTCTGGTCCTGACACTGATTTTCTGGTCTAGATTTGAAGATTTAGTTGAGTTTAATCTGTATGAGGGTTAGAGTCTGACCAATATGATCCCTCAGGTCATACATATACACATAATTATCAATAACCAACTAAATGACTATCTACAGCAGCCTACACTGAGTGTCTCTAAAACCTTTCCTGTAATAATTATTAGTCATTCTGACACATTTTCCATATGTAGGACTGTAAACACTCAGAGTCTCTCAAGGTGCTTCCTGTCTGATTTGTATTTAACTTTTTATCCCAACACTGTGTCTTGTAATACCTCTAAACCTGAAATGTTGTGGGTTTCTTTTCGCCATGTACCAACACTGTCTTCAAAACAAAATGAACAAAAACTTTCATATAACAAAATGAAACTATGTGAATGAGTGAAGCAGCAGCAGCAGCAGCAGCAGCAGCATCCTCTGCTGTTTGTAAAGAGAAGTGTAAAAGCTTACAGCACCTGGTATTCCCAGGCGGTCTCCCATCCAAGTACTAACCAGGCCCGACCCTGCTTAGCTTCCGAGATCGGACGAGATCGGGCGTGTTCAGGGTGGTATGGCCGTAAGCCAGTGGTGAAGCTGCAAAAGGACCTTTTAAACATGTTGTTGTAGCATCTTCTGTTATTGTACTGTACTGCTTCTCTTCTCTTGTTCAGCAGATGTGTATTCATATTTTTACTGCAGATGATAAATGTCCACACCTGAAAACCAAATATATGTTTACTTAAATATAGTCATAATATTTATTACAGAATTAAGGGATATTAACTATTCTTTTATTTATTATTAGTACGTTTTCTAAATGTTTGAAGGTTTCTTCTTTTGACAAAATTAGCTAAATTTAA